AGTTCTGTGTGTTAACCTTCCAAGAAAGTCCCGTTTTTCCCGCCCCCAAAATTGAACATTGGTTTCCTCTCTTGCCATAGACTCCTTGAAGCTGAGGTTAAGAATCCCTCACCAAAGGCAAGGCGACACCAAACAAAGTTTCTTGAATTTCTCTAAAAGTAAATAAAAAATAAAAGAGCCACATTAAAAGCAGAACGCATCTATAGAAAGTCGTGGTCTGGGGTCAAAAGGGTTTCTAATGGAAGAGAAATTGGAGTCTAACAATAAAAAGAATTAAGTGGGTCTATATATACGATTATGGAAAGAATGTCTAAAATTGAGTTAGATAAAAAATAAATTTTAGGAAAGAATGCATTTTTAAAATCCCTTTGAATGAAAAACTAATCACAGCGTAGAATAGCGTATGCACTGAAAACAACAAGAGAAGCAAACGCTCATTGTTAGTGTTCGGTTATCGCAGGAGACTGCAGATGTTCACAATGTAAGTTGCATGTTTCTGAAAATTGGTTGATTTTTAAAAAAACAATTATCATGTAATTTATTTTGAAAACTAAAAACCTAACTTGAAACTGTTTTTAAAAAGAAGAAAATATAGGCTGAGGTCGGCACAGGAAGCCAAAGGAATCTGCAGGGACCACCCTGGCTTTGGAAGAGATGGCATTTCCCAGCCAGAAAAGGTCGTTGAAGAGAGTCTCCAGGGTCATTTCCACCTCTAAATTCTAGGACTCCTGACTCTCAGATTCTTCTCTACCCCCAGAGTGCAGTCAGAAGGCAAATGCCACAAGAACTGTCTCTTGAACCAAGGCAAGTCTTTCAACATCCAGCCTTGGACACGAAGAAAAGAAAGTCGACAGGGAGATGTAAAAACAAAGCAAAGCCCCAAACCCAGCCTGTGTAGAGAAACTCTCATTACATAGAAACTGGGTCAGTAGCTAACTTGCCAGGTTCTGTCTCCCCACCCTTTTCCTTTCTCTTAAGCATCTAACCAGCAGCCAAGGATCTACGGGAGGAGTCGCCCATTTGTCTGAGAGACAGAAAATGTAAGCCCCATGAGGACAGAGGCCAAGTGTTTTGCTCACAACTACAAACCAGGATAACTAATTATCGAATGAAGGAATGAGTAAATGAATGAGTCGTTCAGCAAACTAAGAGCTTAGAACATGGTCTGGAGTCCAAAAGACTGTTTCCATTCCAGCTCTGACATTGACTGTCTCTACGGCCACAAGCAAGTTACTTTACCTCCCTGAATATTTGTTTCCTCTTCTTCAAAAACAAGGATATTATACCTTCTCGATAGGGCTGTCATAAGCGTAAAAACGACAAAATGCATGAAAAGGGCTTAACACCAGGAGGTTACAAAGTGGAAGGTTAAAGGTTAGTGATTATCATTATTGTTTTCAACGGAGATTATGATAGAAGAACTCAGAAAAAACTGATGGGGTTTACCTATTTCCATCTAAATCTCCTCGGCCATTAACTGTCCAGTATATCACTTGAGAGAGGTGAGAAAGCAATTAGCTCATTCCTGCAGGCCCATTTCCTGGGTCTGCTTTCACAGACTGCATAATGGATGGCCAGTCAGGGGTTCAGCATTTAATGGGCCATCTGAGTTCCAATGGGATGGGAATTTTCTCACAGAAAATGTACTCTTGATAAATACTTTCTCAGCCTCTTCTGAGTCTTAGGGGGCAAAAGATCATTCATTCAGTGACATAAAGGTGTTCCAAAGAAAGACAATCCACACTGAACCTCACAGGTGTCCACATTCTTGTTAGTCCTCAGCCACTCGTCCTCAGAAGGGTAAGCATCTTTCTGCAGCTTCTTACTCTGAGGATCTGTCCCCATCACCACAGGACTCTCAGAGCCTCAGCGTTAAAAGAGACCTTAGGAATCATAGCCAAACTCATTAAACTGTGGGCTCCCTAAGAGCCGGGGGCATGGCTGCCTGTTAAAGGCTTCTCCCCAGCATCTAGGCCCTACCAAACAGGCGGTACACGTTTATTTGGTGAATAAATGGAAGGATGAAAAAATAAATGAATGAGTGAATGAACCTTCGACCTTGTTGTATAGGAATCTGCCAAACGGCCATTCAGCACTGGACATCTCCAGTGACGGAGAGCTCCTGAGACCACCCACTCCACATCTGACCGCTTCTAGTAGTTAAAGAAAGTTCTCACACTGAACCAGAACTACCTCTCTGTAACCGGCACCCACTGGCGTTCATTCCGTCTTAAGAATCTACAAGGAACAACATGCTTCTTCTGCCTAAGTGCCCTTTTGGGACGAGCAGCATCAGCACTGCCTAGGAACTAGTTAAAAATGTAGATTGTCAGGCCCCACCCCAGATGTACTGAGGCAGAGAGAAACTCTGGGGTTGGGCCTAACTACCTGCTGATAACTCTCCCAGTGACTCTCTGATCCGAACCACCGCCCTCGACCACAAGACCTCAACGTGTTTTTCAGGCAGATAAACTTCAGAAATATCAAAGTGTCTACACTACCCAGCCCCCACACCTTCCTGCCCCCCGCCACATCCGGGATCTTTCTGAGCTCGGGACATCCAGACAAGTGGCAATCAAAATAGTTCACGTGTATTTAAGTGTTAAATTATTTCACCTTCATGGCATACCTATGAGGAAGGTACTAATCCTCTCCCCATTTTGTGACTGACAACACTAGGAACTCAGACCTGTAACTTGTCCAAGCTGTCATGGCGCAAGGTCAGAGCCGGGTTTCAAAACCAGGTCTGGTGTTCCTGCTCTTTCTCTCTTAGAAGGTGGAAAGATAAAACTAAAGCCCTGCCAGGAACCAGTAGCACAAAACACAATTTGATGGTGATGATAGCGGCTTTGAGGGCATATGTGATGTCACGAAAAGGAGACTCAGCTCTTAGGTGGTGACCATGTGCAGAGAAGAGCAACAGGTATAAGCAAAGCGCGGGGCAGGAAAAAGAGGATGGACGTGTAAGAAGTTCAGGGCTGGTCTTTTTTGAAATAAGAACCCTTCCCAAATGGAGCTACAAATGTTGTCCAGGAAAGTTCTTCCTTCTAGAAGCAAAAGGAAGGGTCATGTTTCATCACCACCATCTGTGCAATTTTACTGATGGACAAAACACTGCTTTCTAACGCTCTCCACTGCCCCAAGCTAGGCCCATCTGTGCCCAAGTGGTGCCCTGGCACTGCTCTCAGGACCAAAGACACTGCCGTCCGCTCACAGAGGGGCCACAGGGCCAGCGAGCAGCCCAGCTCACTGCCCCTTCTCGGACCACATCTGCTCTCTTCTCCTCCCTGACAAGGGCTGGCTCAGTGGATCGGCAGGAAGCCGTCTCTCACCACTGGAGTGTGTCAGGATTTTCAGGAAACGAGTTGTGAGTGATGTGCGTCCAGGAAGAGAGAAGGACTATCCAAGATTCCCCACCCCGCCCCCTTCTGCTGGCTTTGATGGAAAAGCAGTTTCTGTGTACCCTCTGCCTTCCGTAGCCCACTCCGGCCTGTGCCTCCAGGATCCCAAGCCTGCAGGCAGGCAGCATCGGCAGCCCGGAGCTAATAGCAGCCAGCACTGGAGTGTTCACTTTGGGTAAAACCTGGTTGCCCAGACCCCACAGCCCTTGAGCAAAACCTCTGCTTTTGAATCTCGCTTAGGAAAATAAGCTGCCCCCCAAATACCGGACATAAAACATACAGACACTCTCTGGGGAAGGACAACAGAATTGCCTGTGGCAGCCTAGAAACTATTTGTACATGAAGCCAGACCCAAAAGCACACTGCAGTCTGAAAGAGCCCTGACCCATCTTTCCTAAGGCTCAGGCCCTCCAAACCCAGAACCATCTCTTTAAGGACTATTTACCTTCAGCCACATTTCAAATGCATCTCTAAAACTTTTGCAGAGAGGAGCAACAGGACTAAAACAAATTTGCAAAACATCTCTGAGATCAACCCTCCTTCCAGCTGCTTCAGATAAGCAAACCAGTGAAGATAAAATGCTAATAATTTCTAAACTACCTTGAAAAACAACCTATGCAGATATGCGCAGCAGAAGCAAACATTGCTCATGTCAGTGGCCATTCTCATTGGCACCTCTTTCGCCCAGCTCTTGGCCCATCTAGCTCTGTCAAGAGTATCTGGGCACTTATATCCTGGTGATGCTCGGGAGGTGCAGCCTTGCTGGTCCCTCTTAGTTTCCCTGCCTGCTTGTGTTGCTGTTAACCTAAGCCTCTTCTGTTTCTTGCTCATGCTCCTAATGCTATCATCAGGGACTTAGCCCAGGAACTGTACGACACCAGAAATGCTGTGAAGAAAATCTAAAATCCCAGGCCCCATCCCAGACTCACTGAGCGATTATATTTTCTAGAGAAGAACTCAGAAATCTGTGTTTTGATA